GAGCGCCCGTGCCTGGGCAGGGCTCCTTCCCCGCCCCGAGCGCGCGGAGCGGAGCGGAGGCGTCACCGTTCCCGGAAAACCAACGCGTTTCTGTTTACATCGTGCCCCTTCCAGGCGCCGATACGCCCTGGGAGCCCGTTGCACACCCGTCCTAAAAATGCTCTTAACTAAACTTTGTAACTTCTGGTGGAAGTTGTAACTTTTTCCACTCCCTTCTAAGGGTTAAAATCTGTTATCTCTAACATTAGTAATGCAAGAGGACAGTTTTTTAACCGTATACAAAAACAGTTTGCTCATTAAACGTTACTGTTCCTTCTGCTCTTCTGTAACATTACAGGGTCATCTATAACGTAATAACATCATATTTGTCATATACCCAGATGATCTAACCTGCGCCCAGTATGGGACAAATATTTACATTTCTGCTAGAAGTCCTTAGGCTCCCACAAATCTCCCAGAAAGCTACAAGAGTTGATGTGTTCTCACTAGCAACTTTTTAAATTCACAGATCATTTTGAAGGGCTATGGGAAAAGAGAGGGACCAGATAAATTATTCCGTTTCATCATCTTTAGTTCAGCTGTAGTTGAAACATTGTGTTTGGGGATGAAGAGGGGTGAAGAAGAGAAATTTCTTGTAGATTATAGTAATTCACTCAGGTATGTATAATTTTATTGCTTTGGTAATTGTTTAGTTTGTTATAGGATGGCTGTTGTTTAGGTTCTTCTTATTCATTTCAGCAAAAAGAGATTCTACATAACTAACTTCAGAAAGTCAAAGCAGTTAGAAAAGATTTGTGAAAATCTTTAACTGGTGAGAAGGTTGCTGGCAAAGAGGGTTATTAAGATTTCCTCACTAATTTGCACTTTGCTAAAAGGCATACTTTCGTACTTAAATCAGTAGTCTTTTTCTCGATTCCCAGATAATACTCCATTGCAGAGTCTCTCTTTTTTTCCCCCAGCATGTATACTGACACTTTTGCTAGTTTTCTTAGAACAACTTACATGTAAACTGCAGTTGACTCTCTTAATAAATACATATTTTGGTGTGATAGTTCTCCCTTTTTGCTCACTTGACTGAGAATTCATTAAATCAATTCTTTTAAATTAGTTAGTGCAATTTATAATAATACACTTTTCTGCTTTTCACATCTCTTTCTTTGATTAAGGATTGCCATAAGTATAGGTTTTTATGGTAACTTGAAAACACTGATGCTAATACCTAGTTACGGTTTTTGAAAAACTCCTTTTCATGTCAGCATGAGAACTGCAGCAGATGTTACTGTCCATCTTTAAACACCTGTTAGGAAAAGAGGAAAGTAATAAGGCCTAATATAGGAATTAAAATATTCCATGCAAAACAGACATCTGTGAACTCTTTCTTTTAGTTTTGAAGTTAAGAACTTGTTAGTGGAGTCTTTTTCTTCTGCAAATACGAAGTTTACCATATGTTATTTAAACTATAGACTAATAGAAGATAATGTAGAAGATAGAACCTTCAAGTTTTATTATCCAGTTTATAACTCCCACATTTTTTTTCTGTCTGTTTCAGTCAAAGAAGCGGGAAGAGACTTCACCTATTTTATAGTGGTGCTTGTTGGAATTAGTGTTACAGGTTTGTTATTGTTTAATTGTATGCTTTATCAGAAGAGAGTTTTCATGAATTCCGTCTGGTTGGACTAGTATTCATTTCAGCATAATTCCTGTTTCTATTTCAGGTGGTTTGTTTTATGTGATTTTTAAAGAGCTATTCTCTTCTTCCAGTCCAAATAAGATCTATGGAGATGCCTTGGAGAAGTGCAGATCTCATCCTGAGGTTGGTTTCTGGACCTTAGTTATAAGGGGTTTTTCCTCCCTAATTATTGTCACTTTCAAGTCAAAAGTTTGCACCCAAAATCTTGCAGCAAAAATACAGACCTGTCTGCAAGGCGCTTTAGCAGGCAAACAAGAGCAAGGTCTGCTTGTATTTTAGCTGGCCAGAGGAGGGTCAGCATCAAATCAGAACTTGTACTAGGTCAGTTTAATCTAAGTATTGCACCCAAGTGCATTATTTTGCTAAGAGGCAAGTATATTGAGTGTATTGTGAGGCATACAGTAAGAATTGAGATTAAAATGGCATAATCTCAGCGCATTGTACATGTTGAATATAATGATAGGATTTCTAATAGTATTTATATGCCTGTAAAGAATTTCACTTGAAATACAGAAATGGTGCTGAAGAATTTTTGACACACAGCTCTCTAATAAACTTGCCTTCTTGACATATCAGACTCACAAGGGATGTTCTGTTGAAATAAAACATACAGCAGGGACATGAGCTGATCCTAGAACGTCTGTTTGAATGTGATACCTTCTGACAACTCAAACCTCTTTTCTCTTGTAGATAATTGCTGTTTTTGGTGAACCCATTAAAGGTTATGGAGAGGCAACACGGCGAGGAAGGCGACAGTTTGTCAGGTGTCCTTTCATATTTACCCTGTACAGATGCTGTTTTTTGCACAGCAAAAACTCTAGGTTACTTTGTTGCAAGTTAGATCTAGATTACTGAATTGTCAGAGTGTGTGACATACCTTGTCACTTTTGAGTGGAAATGAAAGGAGTATTTCTGTGGGACCTTTTGTGTAGTAGGTATCAACATTCTAAAAATGGTCAGAGTTTTTAGATGAAAGAGTTTTTGTTTGGTATGTTAGAGGATGTAAAATAAGAGACTGTACTTGGAATCATTTAGTCTTAACATGTTGACATCACCCCAGAGTTAGTCTTACAAAATCTAAATACTAGGCTCTTATTTAGTGAGAGATTAGCTCTATTACCTGAACGTCAAACCTTATGTTTACAGGACAAGAAAACAAGCTGGATAGGGGTGTTGAAAGTGAGAGAAGTCAGCCAGAGTTAGGCTTATTTCTTTGCCGTAAGTATAAAGAGGCACAAAAGGCACTACAGTGATGTTTGAGCTCTAGGCATTGGCTGTTAGTGGTGGATTTCACCACAGACACCTGAATTTGTTACTAAATGTAGTGCGTATACAAATAAAATTCCAATTCTGGGTGCCTCAGAACAAGAAATGGCCAGCATGGTAAAGGGAGAGCTGCTCTCCAAAGAACAGGACGACTCTTAATAGATGAGAATTTTTCTGCCTTTGAAATTACAGTTCCCGTCAGGCCAGAAAGAATAGGAAAGATGCTGACTTTCAGGCTTGCACAATCCACACTGGTCAGTTTAAAGCACTTCGAGTTTGTCTGCACAGGTTATGTCTCCAGCTGACTTGCAGCATTGTCTACCCTCTGCTTCTATTGCTTTCTGGTACTTAAGACTGCAGGTCTATAGAGTATTTAACCAAAAAACTTTCATCTAAACCTTTTGTGAGTATGTTAGTTGCTCTCCTGATAAGGTGAAAAAACAGAACTAATTCTTAACATAAATCTTCTCTTCTCTATAGCCCAATAGGGACTTTGTCTTACTGGGTTTTTTGACTTGAATTTATGCAAGCAGGTTTCATACCGTGTTGGGTACATAAGCCCAAACATAACATTTGAAGCATGAAATTGAGCATTATAGGAGAAGGGTTTTTTTGAACTGAAAAAAATGTTTTCCTCAAACTCTGTGAAATGGCGGTGTTCAAAGTGGAACTGCCTAACAAAAAGAATACAAACAATAGTTGTAAGCATCTATCTATAAAACAAGCTACCTGGAAAACTGGATGTACTGTCAGTGTTTTTCTAGTATTTAATTTCCATCTTTCTGAAAGCCTGTTTTAAGTTTTTTGAATCAATGACTTGGTAAGATGGTAGAGCTCATGTCTGTGATATGAAGGTTACGCTAGATATTATCCAAACTGGGACGTAGATTTCGTCCCAAAATATGTACAGATTTATTATGCGTGCATATGCTGAACAGGAATTTACCTTGGCAAAACTCTTGATTCATATTTGTTACCTTCCATATCACCTTAAACTGTATTGAAAGTTTAAATTATGATGTGTGTTTAGGTGTGCCTACTGGCAAGAAGAGGTTGGTAGTGTGCAGCAGTTAGTAATTTCAGTAGGAAGCCTAAACCAACAAAGAATTGTCACTGGAGCATTAGTTTCTAGAAGTGACCTGAGCTTTCTATTTATGTAGTATTTGGCTGTAAATTAGGTACCAGCTTTTGGACTGGAGGTCTGATACGAATGCTGAAGATATACAATTCAGGGAAAATAAAATTATTGCCAAAATAAATAAAGTTTAGTTTATAGTAAATCGCATGGTATGGCTCAATTAACTTGGTAATTACATTGATTAACAGAGTTCTTTTTGCATATTTTGGCTTGGTAACTTAGTTTAGGTGCCTGAAGAAACCTGCCAGCCTGGATGAGTTCTTTCCTCAAGGTCAGGTCTGAATCTAAAGATTGTTTAGAATAAATGCAGGAATATCCTAGAATCATAAACTGTCAGGTTTGAGCTCTCCAGGGGAGGATTTGGATATCAAGTTTCTTTTAGTAAGCAGTGAGCACATGTAAGCACTTGTATGTTAACCATTTGTCTAACCAGTCTAACCTGTCTAAGCATCTCTGCTTAACCAACTCTGTCTTCTAATTCTGCTACTCCCAATGTACCTACTGTAAAGCTTGGGAAGAAAGTGGAGAAGGAAGGAAGCCATGGTAGCATGTAGGCTGTACAATAAGCAGTGAAACACAATTTCTCACAAAGCAGTTCAGCAGTTCCTTCTAGATTTGAAGTTCAACTAGCACATAATATGTAGCCTTTCCTGGTGTGCTGAATTTTTGTTCTACTATTTTTAGTCACATTGAATACGTAAAGGATGGACTGAAACATATGCGTTTGAAGTTCTATATTGAGGGCTCAGAAGCAGCAAAGCGGGGAACAGTCCACGTGGAGGTCAAAGAGGTATGTTCACTTGCTACATAGAGCTGACGAGCTTCATCTCTCCTGAATCACTGAAGAGAAAACCAGCCTGAAGTGTATTTCCTAATTACAGAATCCCGAGAGAGGAAGATTTGAGGTCCGCTACATATTTGTGGATGTTGACGCCTTTCCTAGAAGAACCATTATCATTGAAGACAACAGATAGCCAAAGGTCAAAGCTACTCAGAGTTGCTCTCCCATCTCCCTGAATACCAGATGTGTACCCTGCATACGGGCCTGCATGGTGCTCTGACAACATTGGGGTTGTGCTGCAGGGCCCCCATTAAGGTCCTCCCTAATAACAGATACAGGACCTAAAGTGAAGGAAGTGAAAAATGGAGCCATTGCTTACGGCAACTAATTTTGATATAGGAAAATAATGACATGTAAGGAACCCTTTAATGATAGCTGATATGTCTACACACCCCAAAACTAAGTCTTCCAACGTTTGAGGTCTGGGAAGGTTTTTGTCTTCTTTTGCTTGGATTTTCCACTACTTTGCAATAAATAAAGTGATACTGAAAGTGTAGACAAACTCATTGTTTTCATTCTGGATGTCCTTGTTCAGGTAAGGTAAAATAAGAACGTGTTTACAAAAGCAGCAGAGGCCTAACCCAGGAGGGTCTAAGAATATGAGTTTTGAAGATTCACAGCACATAACTAGAGATGAAGAATGATCAATATTAGTGTCCTATATATAAATTAACAGCACATAAGTACTGTCTACTCTTTCCAGGGCTTGCCGTTCTGCTCCTCTATGATGGTGTAGTTGCTCTCTCTGTTCCATAGTTTTGCTCTTAGCTAATCTACATCTTCCAGGAATCAGATTTGTATAGTTTTACCCAAGCTCAAAAGGTCAATTTTAAGACTGAATTTATTATCTGGTTTTCTTACCTAGTTGAAATGGCAGACAGCAAACACAACTCTGGGTATTAATCAGACTTGTTCAGTGGTATCCATCTGTCAAACAGTACTCCAGAGAAATTCAAGTTCAGCTTTGTTCTTGATAACCACTTTCTTAAACACAAATTAATGCATTATCCAGTAATTATCTCCCATATGCCAGAGCTTATTATTATTTATATTTATTCACTTTTTCATCTCTGCATTAAGCATATGCTGACATTCAGTTACCAGCCTGTCTTACCGGTTCATTTATTAGTACATTTGCATGATTTTAAGCTGCAGACAGTATTTTCTCATGCAATACCACAAATGTCATTAATAGACCCTAAGTAATACTTCACCTGACTTCAGCCATCCTGTGGTGTATTTATTTATGTGACAGCTTATCAGTGTCTCTATTTGCTTTGTAAAATAATTAGACATAATTGTTTTTTAGACTTGGATAGATACGCTTTATATTAAGCACTACAACTTGAGCTTCGGTCAGATGCTCATGTTGTTCAAGAGCGTTCAACAAAGTGGAGTTGTGTTCTTCCCAAATCTGTAAGCAGAGAAGAGGAGCTACATACAGCAGAGCAGCTGCCAGGGATAATCTGAATGATGAACTACAAGATCTTTTGGAGCTTCTGCGTTGTATTAATATAACTAACTAGTGCCAAAGGGACTTTACAAAACTTCCCAAATCAGTTAAGACTGACCAGACAGATTTCACATTCTCTAATTCCAGCAGAGTGATAAATATACCTGCTTTCTTTTATGCCTTAATGGGTGCATGCGAAAACTAACAAACCTACAATTCTACCCATAGTCAAAAGCTATGAAGGTCAAAGTTTGTACTGTATCGGTAGTTCCCTATTTTAAGTATGGGAAATTACTGTGTTATTTGATATATCACCATGAAGTAATGATAAACCTACATTTTTTGCTATCATTTTTCGAAAACATTCATGCAAGTCTGGAAGGGTGTCTTTAAAGAATGAATACAGTTGATTCCAAGTGTTCATGTCATTTTTTAAAGCAGTCAATAAGACCTTTTGGTTCCACTTAGGACTTCCTAATTCTTAGCATGCGCTTTGCCAAAACTTTTGTTTCAGAAGTAATTTTCAAACCAATCTGATGGTCATAACATAGTAGAAAACAATAAAAGTAGGGGTCCTTCTTGTGTCATTAAAAGCTGCTGCATTTATGATTGATAGTATGTGTATAAATACCTGAGGGGAAACTGTAGAGAAGGTGGAGCTGAAGTCTTTGGTAGTGGCCGGTGACAGGAAGCGGGTGTAAGTTGAAACCCAGGAAGTTCTATCTCCATGTGAGCAAGAACAACTTTCCTGTGAGGGTGACAGAGCACTGGAACAGGCTGCCCAGAGAGGTTGTGGAGTCTCCTTCTCTGGAGATCTTCCAAACCTGCCTAAATGCAGTCCTGTGCCCCGTGCTCTAGGTGACGCTGTGTGTGCAGGGGGGTTGGACTAGATGACATCTAGAGGTCCCTTCCAACCGCAACCATTCTGTGAGTCCGTGATAATCACATTTTGTTGACTCCACTTATGTCCAGTTACTTACAAGCATTTGCCATACCATGGCTTTTACTGAAAACTTCTGCAAGAGATTTGACATGAATACAAGTGGCAAGTTAATTGGAGCATTTTAAAATAGTGCAATCTCTAATAAAGTTTATGATCTAATAAACAGGCTTACTAGTGTTAAGCCTGTACTATAACTTGATAAAATGTAATCATTCTTCACCCTTTATAAAACAAGCCTATATAGAAATACTGTTTAGTCTAGAAAATATGATATTGTTTTTGCTCTTTTTCTGTGAGTTTTTCCAATACTGAGCTGCCTGAAAGCTGTTGTAAAATTCCATATTAGTAGCAGAAGTGACAGGCTAGATTTTTTTTCTTTTTTCCTGTATCTGTGTTCCTGTTTGGCTGTCTTGCCAATCTGACTGTGGCTTGTTTTCAGTGTTTCCCTCCTGGAAAGAGGAGTACTTCCTAAAGCAAGATATATCAAAACAAAAACATATTCTTTAATAGTAAGTGGTACAGGAAAAACATTGTGCCTAATCCAGGCCTTGAGGGGGAAAAAAGCCTGTCACAAGTCAGGGCTCAAAATACATTTAGAAAATGATAACCCAACTGTTAGGTTTACTTCACAAAAGTAAAAGTATTTGTAAAAGTCATGTTTTAGAGCCTTGTTTGCACAGAGGAAAGCAACTGTCAGGGCTAGGAACTATTTCTAGGAAGAGAAGAGCATTAACCTCACAAAATGATGCTTTTTCAACTGTCCAAGTAAGCTATGTATCATGTTAGGCTTGTGGTAAAACCTTAAGGAATTGGCTATTAAGATTAATTTTTATGTTTGCCCTCAGCTTGAGAAAATGGACTAGGAATTTGATTCTTTATTTACATGCAGATTCCTTCACGCTGTTCTAAGTAGCAAAGAATTTCTAATATGCCCAGAAATACCGTGTGTTTTAGGGGCTATATAAAAGAACCGTGTGGCTGGGATGCAGTCCCTTCGCTGCCAAGGCAGACGTTGGAGCGGAAGCTTTCCTGGTACCGCAGTTCAGCAGCCACAACAGCAACGCAGAATTGCCCTCCGCGCCCTCCTTGTCACTTCGGAGCTTGTGTCAGACCCCCCTGCTCTTGCCCTGTACCTGGGAATGAATGCAGCAGCAGGAAACGTGTCAGGAAAAGTCTTTGGCAATCAGGCCAGGCCCAAGTGAGAAATGCAGACATGGCATAACCAGTTGCCTAACTAATAAGGCGGAGACACAAGTTCAGTTTTAAGGACAGTCATGGAGATACAGTGCAACTTGCTTTCATGATTTTTTTTCCATGATGCTCTGAGTGTCTAAAAGCAAAGCAAGAAGAGCGATGTTCTGCCTTAAAATGAACTGGACAATTCAGAGAAACAGAGATGACTCCCAAGCTATTTTTGGTCAGAAGTAGCCACAATATGACAGGGTTGTAAGTAAACTTTGTCTTACCCTTACTCACATGCAGTATACACTGTTGTAATTTTTGTGCTCATCTAACATGGTGCTATAGGGAATCGGGCAGCTGAGCACGTTTACTCTAAGCAGGAGGCTCCATTCTCTGTACACTTTGTAACAAGCAACACAGGCTGCAGAGAAGCTGCAGAGGAGGAATGCATTATACATACAGCATCTTCATGCCTCCTCCTGTGTTGCGCCTAGCAGAACACTAGGGAGACAGAACAATATTTTGGTTTTACAAAGCAGGAAAAAAATAAAAAGTAATTATAAATTGCTATTTCCACAAGGAAGTGCTACTCGCTCTTTTCTAATTAAAGCTTAACCAACTGTAGTTTTGCCTAAGGAACAGAACAATCCTATCAGTCCCCTGCGGAAAGGGGTACAGAGCCTTCTCGGAGTACCTTCTTGCAGTATTCTCTGCTGAAGCGAAAGCTGCATTACGCGCCCCATCATGGGTAGGACTAAAAGTTATTGCCAGACTAGTGGAGCTGCAAGTGTTGTGGCCCAGCAGGGTCTTTTCCCCTTGACCTACCCCATCAACCTTCCACAAACCCCACCTGGAAAAAAAAAAAAAAAAAGATCAAAAAGAAATTTGTCTTTACACAGGCATAGGTTTTAGGTATGCCAGCATTTTTAATTTGGGCAAATGATAGACATAAGGCTCAAATGCTTTCAGATCTCAGTGGAGAAAAGCTTTTGGGAATCATTCTTCAGTAAAATCTCTTCAGTGAAAAACACAAACTTCATAGCTTAATTTATTGTCCTCCTCCTAGCAAAATGCCTGTCACCAGCAAGATAACTTAATCTCCATGAGATTTCAAGGGTACTAAGAATGTGTATGTATGTTTAGCTCAAAAAAAAGAAAGAAAGAAAAAAAAAAGCTATGTTCTTGCTAACACAGAAGTTTTACAACAACTAGTTCTTTCATTCCAGATTCTTTCGAGAATGAAGTCACTAATAAAAAACCCACAGGCAAAGCCTTCATCTCTTCATTTATTGTGATTAATGACGATGCATTGCTTTGGCAGGACTGCCAATACCCAGTGCTTCACACTGCAGCCCTTCAGTGGGAGTAAGTAGGGCAACAATCATGAAGCCAAAGGCTTCTGGCATCCACGAATCTGGGGCCGTAATACCCTATTTCTATGTGCTCAGCTCCCAGGGCAGCTCGCAGCAGCCACCCTTGCATGTGCTGGGGGTGAATGCGCACAGTGGGACGGGGCGCAGAGCCCAAAGGCTGCTCGGGCAGAAGTGTAGAGCTTGAAATCCTCTGCACGTCTGCAAAGTTTAGGGCCACCAAAGTGGTGA